CATAGATAATCTTCACGAGTACATATGGATAATGACCCTTTCTCCCCCCTCCGCCCCCCCCCCTCCCCCCCACCGGTTGCAGTCGCCCGCGTGGCACTGTGGTTACGGCGTCTGCTCTATACAGAGTCACGAAATACAGTAGTAAGGAGTCGGCCAATACGTTGTGGGTTCCAATCCCACTATAGGATGTGGAGTTCGGTCCTTCGGATGAGATCTAGACCGTATTATCCGAGGTCCCGTGTCGCAGTAGGTGCTGGCACGAAAAAAGATCCCTCACTGCTCAATGGCTACAAGTGCCGAGTATATAGGACAAATTTCCAGCTCTCCACCGGCAAGAGGTGGCTTCTCCATTTGAGTGAAAAATTCTCGAAAAGGAAATTATACAATGTACAATCACCAAAAGTGGCATATGAGTAAAATTTATAACTGAAAAAAGTTGACGACCCCCCCCCCCCCCCCCTTCACCACCACCGAATAGAATTTTCGAGTTTTAAGATTTTTTTTTAGCTCTCCTGGTTGATGACAAACACGGTGCGTACTGAAGATATTTCTTTCTTTATTGAAAAGTCCTATTCTAATATAAAATATTAACGCAGAAAAAAGACCGGTGTGTTTCTAGTATGCCTGGGTGCATGTAGTCTGGTTCAGACTTCGCCTTCCATGCGCGGATCTAGAGGGGGGTGTAGGACCCCCTGGAATTAACAAGGTTACTAAAACAAAGAAAAAAAGTTAACACCCCCCCCCCCCACACACACACACGAAATAGAATTTTGACGTTTGAGCGAGTTTAGGTTTTTTCTTCCTATTGTGCTTGTCAAGAAATTTCTGGGATTGGATTTTTTTTTACTTGGTTCCCCCCCCCCCCCGGAAAAAAAAATCTGGATCCGCGCCTGCCTACCCATAACGCTCCTCACTCCTTTGCAAAGCCCTGTCCCTAGAATCACGCGCATCAGCAGTTACTATCTGTCGTGAAATAAAGTTCAGTTCAGTGGAAGGTTCTGAAAAACAACCCAATTTATAAGGGTTAACTAGTATCAAAATATCTAACATTTTTATAACAATTAAACTGTAATCCAAATATCCAACAAATAACTTTAGTAGAGTTATATTTTTCAGGCGAGAGAACAGTGACGTAGCATCGTTTTTGAAAGTGGGGAGGGGGCAACAAGAGAATAAATATTCAAGCTACAGGCTGAAAACAACTTGACAAGCGCAAAATAAACCCCAGGAAATTGTCCAAACTTGAAAATACATAGGCGTCGGAACGAGGGAGGGGGGGGGGCTTAGCCCCCACTTCTTTCCAAAGATAGACTTAGTATAGATATTTAACATTCCTGCGTGGGTTTAGCCCCCCCCACTTTCCATGGACACGATGCAGTAAAGGTTTAAAATGGGGAAAATGGTGGTATTTGGAAAAAAAAAACTTTGGCACTGGAGTTCGAACCTTCAACCCACCCCCACCCCTCCTCACGAATTAGGACTTTTGTGTTTGGAAAATGGACATTTTTTTTTGCTTGTCAGGTTTTTTTTTTGAAGGTCTAAAAAAAATTCTTACACTTACCCCCCCCCCCCCCCCCAACTTTCAATTAGCTTCCGACGCCAATGAAATCCTATTTCGGGGGCGGGCTGGGTTTTGAGTTAGATTTGACTTCTTTTATAGAATCAAGTTTAAATTTTCTTCCTACTATACGTACTACATTTACTTATTTGACCCTTTCTCTTACAAAAAGTGGGTCGGCCTTTAAATGAACATATTCAGTATAGTATAAAGTTGTGTCTGAAAAAAAGAAGCCGCTTTTCCTGTGTGCCCAGATAAAATAAATATGGAGTTTCCATCATTGGATCGGGAGATCGGATTCGGCCTTCAGAAGTTCGATTGATAAAGTATTAAGGCGTATTGAAGAATCTCAAATAACCCGACCCGGGTTTGCTTACTTAGTTTTACCAACACTCGTAGCGAACACCACGCCACCTAGCGTTATAATGCCGCACTAAATTTTGACGGTTTGACAACTTCCATTCGTCTTCATTGAATATGCTTCATTGTTAGCGTGATTGAATTAACATTCGTAGTAGAGATAATGCTAAAAATTTATTAAAGAAACTGTTTAAGTTTAAAAGAAAGTAGAATGAAGTTACAAGAATAAAGCAACATAGAAGTAAAGACAAAATGAAGAATGATAAAAGTCAAAGTGAAATGTAATAAAGACGAATATGAAAACAATAAAGTGACATATAATTACAATAACAACAAAGCATAAAGAAGTAGGCAGGATAAGAATAAAAGCAAGATACATAGACTTTTGGCGGTAATTCCCTTCCATATTACATGGGCTGATTTTTACTATCTTGCCTTTCCAAATAAAATTCACCTGGCTTGGTATATATTTCTTAAGTTTATATTACTCTTTTACAACCAAGATAACATATTCTGAAATTTGTTTCCATCTGTAAACCTATACTGAGTACGGTTAATCCATATTTCAAATTATATTGAAATATGAGTAATATTTTCCAAGTCTATTTCATTTTCCAGTTCTTAGGAGAAAAAATTCTAAGAATTATCCACTTTTATGAACTTGTGACATGATATTAAGTCTCCTCAAAAGTACAAAAATGTTTGTATTATCTGTCCTTAACACTTGTGTTAAACAACATCTGGAAAAAAAAGTATGTATTGTATGTGGAAAATATTGTGACTGAATTAGATTAATTGCATCAAAAGCAGATGCACAGAACTGCACTCGGTGATCTGTTTTGGCTTCCCCGACAATTTAAATTCTAGGCCAGCGAGAGTGTTTATCAGCCAATTAGCCAGCAGGGGACACTTAACATTACTGATCACCTGTCTGTAAACAGCGCATATCCGATATCAGACAAATCAAAGTTAACGTGATTTGCCGCTGGATGGCGATCGCAAATTCCCTTCCGCCACAGATGAGCTCTACCAATAGAGCGGAGGCTTTAAAGCCTCCGTCTAAAAATTATCATTTTTTTTCTTCTGATTTTTGACTAATCTTTTAAAATACATGTACTTTTTAATACTTAATTTTCAGGGAAAAGGTTATGACCTTGATTTGACCTTGCCTCATATATAACACAACTGTCAAATACAATCTCACTGATAAATGCACCATCACTTAGTGATTTTGTCACCTTGATTCTGTGAAAATTTTATCAATTTTTAGATACAATATAAGAAGCGTCCTACAGTAGTATTTTCTTAAATTTTCTATGTAATATCACGAGTTATACATGGCAAAAGCATTTCTCGCGAAAAAGATATTTAAATTCTATTTAATCTAAAAGTTATGAAAACTTCAAATCTTTGAACGGATTTGATTGACACATCCTTGAACTTTCACAAATTTTAATTTTTTTCTTAAAGATTGAGAAAAAAGGAAATTTTGTTGTGTAGTAAGTTTCAATAACTTTTAGATGAAATAATATTTTTAATGTATTTTCGTTTGAAATGCTATTGCATATAAATCTTGACATTATACAGAAAAATTTAGAAACTAAATAACTTCAAATCTGAGTCTATACACCCTTAAGTGCTGAATGGCGTTTTTCTACTTATTGTTAGTCCATTATTTCCAATCATGACAGGGATTTCACTGCAGATATAACCGGTCAAAAGGGGATTCTCACTCCTACATGGCACCTGGCCCCGCCTCTTATGTTTAGAGGCCTGTGTTTGCTCTGATTTGTATTGTTTGGGTGGACTTTCAAACTTGATTACAATTGTTTCATTAGAAAAGTCAGAATGTATTCAAGAAGTTATACATGAGAATAAAAAAAGAGACTTCTGTGGTCATTTAGATATATCGACAACGTATTATCAATTGTTGAAACATTTCTGATGTCATCTTTTGTTAATTTTTTTATTGTCCTGCACACCGTGCAATCAGCTTCTGTAGGTGTCAAATAAGATTCCATTCACTGGACATCTACAAGTAACATTCAAATGAGAACAAAGGGAGAGGTAAATAAATTTATTGAACAGCACCAAAAAGGCAATGACAAATTAACCAAATTGATATGAACAATGTTGAAAATAAGTAGCGTAAATTGTAAATACTCTTCTGGAAATGGCACAAATAATCCACGAAGATTTGAATGCCTAACATGAAATTAACAAAAGAAACCGTGTGTCTGATCACAATTTTCAAAGATGTTCATCACTAATAAATTCATTTCACAATAACTGGGACATAGATAATTCACGGAATCTTGTAGACACATAAGAAAAAATAATCAAAAGTATAATTATGTTTACTTAAACACAACCTTGGGCTTTTGCCTATTTAAGCATCCTTTTTTCCGTCTTTATCTATTCCGCTCACGAAATTGCAACTGATTCTGTACTATTTCCACTCGGTGACTTTGGGACCAATTGCCCATATCTAGTCCTGTAAATTCAGCAGAGTAAAAATAATCATACAATTGAAATTAAAAATTATCGAAAATACAAAAATATATTTTCAACAGTTCATAGATCTTTTTAAAAAAAAAAAACAACCAGAAAGACATATAGATTTCAATCGTGAGGCCAGAAAGGAAAAAAAATGATTGAAAAACATTAAGGAAATTTTTGTCAATTTATTCGAAACCCTGTGTACAGTCAGAAAAGAAATTATTCTCCAAAATAGCGGTCAAAACTAACACAGGATAACACAGCAAATCCACCAACATTGTGAAACAGTAACGGGTTAACCCCCTCGGTTGTCCAGACAAGCTCGGAATCGGCGTGGCCTACTTCTAACGAGACATTCCTGGTTATTTCGGGGAAGGTTATTCTATTCCTGAAATGACCTCATGTTAAATGAAGCAGGTTCTTGGACATTGACAAGTGGTCCGAATTTTTTATACTGACATGTTTATCGGAACTGTTTAATACATTCTCACAAGAACTTTAATTTATAATTCATAATTTTCATTTTACCCTGTTTTCTACATCTTTGATAAAAAGTAAAAGTAATTGATAACAGGAATTTATATCATACTCGTCGATTTTTACTTAGTTGATGCCGAATATTGTGAATTCTTGAATGTGCTGCCATCTCTGTTCCGTGTCCTGATTTTTGTTTCAGCGATTCTTGGTAGGATTGTAAAGCCCCGTGTAAGTCTCCGACAACTTGCTGACAGATTCCTAGTATCTGCCAGGAAATGTCTCTGTGGAATGGTAGTATATATCTTCCATCATCGTAAAGGAGCAGTGTGTGAAGGTCTGTCAGTGACTGTAGATACTGAGCTCTATTACCAAGGCGGTAGTTTGATAAAGCAGACAGCATTTCTACCAATATAAAAATTGGATAAGTTCTAAATTGGCCATGCGGTGTTTTTAATTTATCCTCTACTTGCTCTAATATTAATTCTTCAATGAAGTATATCCCATAATAAAACTTAAGATTCACAACCCAGGTGGCTTTCATTTTTCTAGACAAAGATAAATGACTTATTTCTTCACTATATCTGTGTCTGTCTACTGGTGTGGTGTAATACAAAATAAAGTGTTCTGAAAGTCTTTGTTTCACCAGATTAGAAACATTAAGTGCTTTATTGTATCTCCCTGTCCTAAAGTAATACAATGCTAAATACAGTGAATGCGAGATGGTTCCTATCCGTGCAGACACTTTCAACATGTTGCACAGCATTTTTCCCAAATTGTACATAAGTTTATTTTTAGAATTAGACGAATACTTTAAAATCACAAAAGTGGTCAGTGCAAGAACATCAGCTGTACAACACTGTAATGTTAAGGAACTATACGGTGACAGTGACAAATTTAACAATGTGTCCATAGATTTTAAAAATAAAAAGAAATGACATGGCATTAAAACAATTTCTTGTAATTCCTCTAGCATTTGCAGATCGTTTATTACACATCCAATTTCCTCACATACTCTTCCAGAAAATTGAATATCACATGGACCGCTGAGGGCTGGCTCTAGGATAGATCTGACTGTAGAGCTTAGTTGTAGGCAGGATACGCCCATTCTGTAATACTGATAAAGTTGATTTAATAAAGACTCACGTGCAATGCCGACAATCTTATTTATAAACAAATTGTTCTGTGGAATAAAGAAATTGGCAAATTTACCACGGTATACACACAGAATGAGATATTTTAAACACTTCCAAAAGCATTCTAATAGATTGTCAGGAGACCACCTCACATGTCCAATTTGTATTAACCAGAACATTGAAGTCTTCATGAAGTAAGAACACAGTAATGGTTCTTCTACGTTCTTATTGATTACCTCTTTGAGAAATATTTTGAGAAGGCCATAACACATAAATTGAGTATGATTCATGGAATACACGAGTTTTTGTTCTGCAAGAGAAAAGGAAAATCTCCAATTGAATATATTCCCAACGCTAGTGTCATTACTCCCAATAGCCACACAGTGGTAATTATTGTTTAAGATATCTTTAAGCACACTTGCAGGAGGCCAATTGTGTCTGAAACATCTTTCAATCCAGTCATTTGTTTGAGGGGGCCAATATTTGCAGGTAAAGCAGAATGCTATATCAACATCTCCCGACAAATACCCACTGAAGCAAGGGCCATGTTCGTGACCATGTTGATACTTCATTAAACTAGAACACTTTTCAACGAAAAACTGCCTCAGAAAGAAGCTAGAAATGTAAATTCGATCATTTAAAGGAACGAATGCTGATGTAAAGAAATTATATACAGGACGTGTAAGAAGCTGTAGTCTTACAAATCCTGGTGGTGTATCTGTGACATCCATGAGAATAATGTCAAGATTTGATGAATAGTCCCTCAACTGAGAAATGTCATTTATTAAAAAATAACGTTCACAAAGCCACATCATATAATCTCTGTCAGATGTATTAAACCTAAAGCCTTCTCTATAACTACCGCTTAACATTCTTCTTGTGGTATCTACATCTTTCGAAATTTTAGATATCTTTTCATCTATCGTGTCACCCATGTCCAGCACGTCCCTTCTGATCGTCACTTCTGTTGGTGTCCCTATTTCACAACACAGACCTACATACAGGATCTCTGATAGGCGGGGAATGTGAGCCATTCTGTAAATTAAACAAAAAGAATGATAAAGAAGCAAAATAGTAAAAATATAAGAAAATAACTGTTACAGTACTTTTTCAAAATACTTTTCAGCGTGGTATGTTTTTTGTCTGAAATGACAATTTTAAAATGCCTCCTCAGCTGAATTGGATTTAAAATTGTTTGTGAACCTGTGCTTTATTAGTGTTTGATCAGGTGAGTTATAATTAATATACATATTTATTAATATATACCATTGTTCGCAGCAGGAAAATTTTCGAAATGTTTTAAAACTTACGAAAGTTATCGGTATTTAAAATAAAAGATTATAATATTTTAAATTATGCAAAAATGATATTACAAATTATTTAAAATTAAAGGTCAGCCAAAAGAAATGCTACAGCCTGTCTCGATTTCTAACGTTACCTCGGTTTTTAATGTCCCACGCAAAAGATGCATACCTTTTGTAACTTTAAAGGTGATAAGCATTTGTCAACGAAAATCCACGATCTCCCAATTTTGATAAAAAAAAAAAAACTAGAGGTACTGTGAGCGATGAGCTCACTAATTGATACCCCCCCCCCCGCCTCCATATAGTTATAATTGCAAAGTCCATGTTTTGTTGTGGCCAGGAAACCCAAACTGTATGTCTGATCAAAAAGTTAAATAGGAGGGGCACATTGGCAATATGTAATAAAGATTCTGTGAAAAAATCATAAAATTTCATTCTGTGGTACAAGAGGGGTTGAGGATAAGAGATGGGCACCCGAAAGCGTAACAGACGGACGGACGGACGTACAGACGGACGGAATTAACGATTACTATATACCCTCCCGCTTTTCAAGCGGGGGGTATAAAAACAGTGGGTACCTACATGTACATATATTTACATGTTCATATAAAGTAAGCACTCGACTCACTTTGCAGCGATGGGTGTTAAAGATCAGATTAAAACAACAAATGTCACTTACCTGATTTATGTTCTATAAAATATTACCGGTGCATGTACTACCATAAAAGCGGTAAATTCCAAGAACTCGGTAAAATACAATGAATCTCATTTTTAATTTTATGAACGGCCATTATTTGTAATAGGCTGAAAAGAAAGCAGATCTGTCTTCGTTCAAGGAAGTACAAGAATGTGTAATCTTGAAGAAAACATCTGGTAACTGAAAAAAATTAAAGTGTTCTAAATATAAATACTCATGCTTTCATTTCACAGAAACTGACATATTGTCCAATAGGGGAATAAACAAAGTTGATTTGATCATAACTTGTCCCATCATATCCTTTAAGGGTTTTTTTTCATTTATTGGGCATTTTCGTGTTTTAGAAATACATGTAGGTGTCTTAGTTAATATTTAAAGACTAAAGTTTAAATCAGTTAAAGTATGAGTATTTTTCTTGCAATAAATAATTGATGACACATTCATGGGATTTTTTATTATAATAATCTATGAAGAATTAAAACAAAATTGAATTCAACTTGGAAAGTTTACATGAATATTAAACATGAGGTCATTTCTCTGCAGTATTTTTTTTTCGTGAATAAACACAAGTGTTTAGTTAAGGGACCCCGACCCTCAGCTAGGAAGGACAACTCTTTAATTAATAAATTAATTCAAAAATTCTTTAAATGAAGCTTGAAAATTAAATCTTTTCCTGCAACAATTTTCATTATATGCCTCTCAATGTGCTTCAAGGTTCTTTGAACTTCTCAGAAAGGTCTAGTTAAAATTAGAAATTTTTATCCCGAAAAAGCATTTTTTGATACCAATGTTTATTAACATGATATGAAATTAAAAGTGATTTATGGAGCTTTGAAAAGAGCCTTGAAGCACATTGGGAGGCATATAATGAAAATTGTTGCATGGAAATATTTAATTTTCAAGCTTCATTTAAAGACTTTTTGAATTAAATTATGAATTAAAGAGTTATCCTTCCTGGCTGAGGGTCGGAGTCCCTTAATAAGATGTACACTAAAGAGATAACATTTCATAAAAAATTGGTAATAAATGGTTTTTTTAATCAATTACTGAGTAATTTGATATACTGTATTGGTTATGATAGTATTAGTTTATGACCTTTATGTTTCTTGCAGCCTCGTTATTTGTCAGCCAGAAAACAACACTAACTAAAGAGTGAATGTAGTTGTACAAGTCATTTATCGATGACACAAGGGTAAGACATGAAAATTGGGAGATCCTATGTTTCCCTACAAATTGTATATACATGTAGGCATACACCTTGATTTGGATCTCCCAAGATGTAAAGGTACAAGTTTTTATAATGATTGGAATGTCTTTATTCCACAGAGGTGTATATAACAAAATTGCTGCTTTGTGGTCAATTCGATAATATGCCACATGAGGAGTATAAAATTCAAAGACCCTGATTGAAGATATATATATATATATATATTGTACTTAAAATGTCGCTAAATTATCATATTGACTGAACTCATTCAATAATTGTTTAATTATATGATTCATTGATTAAATGTAAATGATACCAATAAAGAGTTAACGCCACCTTCTTCTTTACATTCATACATACAGGGAACAGAGGATACTAGACTACTACAAGTCATTATTGACCCCTCCTACTTCGCGTTTTTAGAGATTGCCTCCAGAAAAAACAAAATACAGGGGGAAAAATAAAAATAAACTAGAGGTACTATGAGCAATGAGCTCACGAAATGATACCCCCGCCTCCCAAAATGTCCATGTGATGCTATATATTGTTTTACGGTAATGTGTAAAGAGGAATAACTCGTCCTATCAAATGTTATCCAGAAGCTTCTATGTGAGGTCATAGGTAAACATATAATGGTAATGTCCATGTTTTGCTATGGGAAACCCTAAAATACGTGTCGAATAAAAAAGTAAAATATGAGGTGCACACTGACAATATGTAATGAAGATTCTGTGAAAGTTTCATTAAATTTCACTCAGTAGTATAAGAGGAGTTGCAGATTAGAGATAAAGCGTAACAGACGGACGGACGGAAATCCCGATTAATATATAAATACCTTCCCACTTTTCAAGCGGGGGGTATAATGATATTAATATATTGATTAAAATCAAACATGATTAATTGTCTACTTATCAATACAGTATATGTATACATGTATGTACTTTTTCTGTGCCCTAGAGATAAAAAGCTATTGAAATTAATCCATCATCTGCATAATAATCCATCAACTGCATAATATATCACGTGCACTTTCCTGTTAAAGCTGCTTTTAAAAGAAAGTGAATGCAGAAAAGGTGCATTTTAAAACATCTAGCTGATGTGCAGACTCACAGTCACGCACTGAACAAAAATGTCGGCTTTAACTATTCTTTTTGCGACTGTTTTGGTAGGAAGCTTCTATCTTGTGGGAGTTATCGGTAAGGTTTGAATATTTATGCACAAATCATTTTATGGTTTTAGATTGTTCAAAGCAAGAAAAGAAAAATTCCATGTGCGTGTGTATTTTAGTGTGAATTTTTTTGTGTGTATGATATTTATTTGTTGTCATTTATTAAAAAAAAATAATTCAGTAACATAATGATCAGGATATTGAAGTGAATGGATGGAAGATATGATATCAAAATTATATTACATATAAATATTTTAAATGGTGACGGTGGAAAAATTAAGTTTTTATCTCAATGTCCTTAATAAACACTTTAACTGAAATGAAAATGATAAGATATTGACAGAAAAATGTAATTTATCCAAATAAAGCCACACAATCAATAGAAATTTAGGAAGAAACAAAAAGCATATAGGTCCGAATTTAAAGAAACTCATGAAGTAGAATTACACTGAATTATGCATCGTTTCCAGAAATCAGATTACATTCTTTCCCTTTATCAACAACTATAAATACAAGCTTATCCGAACATTTTGAATAATTATGATTATTAGGGATGTCAAATCGGTCAATTTTTGATACTCGGTTACTCGGACATTTTTCCGATCGAGTACCCGGGTACTCGATAAAAGTGAAAATTAATTAATATGAAGAAGTAAATTGAAGACTGTCATTGTAAACTCTTGTAGAAATGAAAACAGATACATTGATAGGAGGCTTACCCGTAAATGTTTTCTGTTGTAATTAACGATGAGCACTTCGTGCCCGACGAAATTTCATATAACATTTTTTAAAGTTCAATTTATTTATCAAATAAACACAAAAAATAAAATCCTAAATGGTTCATAGTGTTTTTTTTTTTAAATAATCTGCTCTGTAATTGTAATGTAACTCTTTGTCGCGTTAGACGACCAGGTATTAGTCGTCAGAGCTACGAACAGTATCAACTTGAACTTGATCAAGATCTAACAGAGCGGATTTACGATTTTCATACACTTTTTCGCTCCTAGCTTTTATTACAGTATTACTTAACGGTAATTTGTAGTTTGGTGCAACGATGGACATCAGTTTTATAAATCCTTTGCCTTCAACCTGTTGTATTGGCATATAATCAAACACAACCATACCAAATCGTACGCGTAATGTCATCCGCTCTTTTCCGGAGAATTTACTGCTTCTCGGAGAATGGACAATTATGTTATTTATATCAACATAGTAGACCTTAAACAATGTTCAGTGAAAACAAATAATTAAACCCAAACATATGGAACGCCATCACTGCCTTATAGCATACAACTATGCATTTATTATGTCAATTTATCATTACATGATTTGAACATATCTTTACGTTATGTCCATTTTTTATGAGATGATGTAAATATATCTTAACATCATGTCAATGCTGCATTACATGAAGTAAATACATCCTTTCATTATGTCAGCACTTCATAACTTGAAGTAAAAAATTCATTATATGAAGTGATAATGTGTTTACATTGTGTTAAAACTTTCTTGCATGAAATGAATTTTTCTTTACATCATTTCATTTCTTTAAAATATGAGGTCAAAACTGCATTACGTCAAGTAAATTGTGTTTTATAATTAAACTTATCATTACACGAAGTCAAAAGCCCATTCCTTTTTGAGAATGTATATTTCTATTATATCAAAGCATTATTACGTGATATGGATTTATCTTTATTTTACGGCGAGGGCATCATGATATGAGGTGAACACATCTTACCTTTATGTCAGTGCTTTATTATGTGGTGTAAAAATGTATAACATAATGTGAACATATCTTTATATTATATCAATACTTTATTACATTATGTCAAAACTCCATTCCGTGATGTGGATATATAATTACGTTATGTCAACTCTTTCTTATGTGATTTAAAAATATCTTTATATTGTGTTAACTCTTTATCGTGTTGATTCCAAAAGTTCATTACCTAATGTTAAAAAACATTTACATTATCTAAAAGCTGTATATCTAATATATAATGAATGTTGACGACCGTGATTTAATGAGTAAGAAGGGGGGGGGGGGGTCCTGATTGATTAGGACAAATTACAGGCACATAATATCACCCCCCCCCCTCTTCCCAGACATAACTTTACTATAGAAAATGTAATGTTCATTGAAACTGTACAGCCCCCACCCCCACAGTTTGTTGAAGTATAATCCACTAAGGGTAATGTAATATATCTGGGAAAAAATAGGACTAATCGAAGTTGGACCCCTCTCCCCGAAACAGCATTTTCGGGCTTGGACTTTTTTTTTCTTGGCTTGTCAAGTTTTTTCGGATAAATGATTTTATTTCTGGCTGACCTCCTCTTTCAAAAAAAAAGATTGTACGTCACTGGAGTTAGTAATTTTTTTTAATCATTCCAGGGCCAGAATTCTATTACAAAAATCTACCAGTCGCTCATCTAAATCAATTGAATATGCCGTAGTAAGCATGCATGGGCACATATCAGTGGCAGATATGGGAATCTTGAAACAAGGGGGACGGTATATGGTTGAGACCAAGGGCGGAAAGCGGAGAAGCTCTCAGGCTTAATAGTTTTATAGAAAAAAAGTTTTCAGCTTAATTCAGCTAAGCTTATTGTGAAACTAATGCAATGTCCTTCAAAGTTTAAGACTTTTATTAAAAAAAAAAAGAATCAAAATAAAAAGAAAAAAAATTATTGCTGCACGACTCATAATATTTGATTTTATTTAATTATGAGAT